TTATAAGCGGCACATTCACGAGGATCATCGCTCGTTTTCGACCAAAAAAATCTATCGGCGAAAAGGCGAATCGAAGAATTCGATTCGAAGATTGTTTGAATTTAAAGCAATATTAATTTTTTATAAATTCCAAGATAAATACCTGTTATCAGAGCGGACAAAACACTGCCCAGCGGTTCACAAACATACGCGATGCTGCCTATTTTTGATTACAAAACTGTTTATTTATGAATATTCAAAACTTTAAACTGTTTGCGGTTTCCAAATTCATTATTTAAAACGAAAAATTTTCAAAATAAATTTTAATAAATAATTAATCGAAAAATGTCCACAAGTTCAGAGATAATTAGGTGAACAACAAGTCATATGAGTTCAAAATTCAAAATTAGTTCTTCAATAATAGTTAAAAGGTACCTAGTAAACAACATTAGGGTCATGAGCCATTACCTAACCATGAAGCTTGAGTTGAAGTGAGCGAAAGTGTTTCGTTGTGATTGTGTTCGTTGGTTTTTCCCGTTAGAGCCGGAATAATAATTGATGGAAATATCCCACTCATGCCCATATCAAAGAGTAGCACGGTTGTAGCCACGAGCTGTGGATCATCAGCGCCAAAAAATAGAGCCAAATCAAATATTTTTGAGTAAGAAGATAAAGACACATTCAAAATTTGATCATAAAATGCATGATTTAAAGTCACCAGAATTAAAATTTTAACAAAATAATCAAAAAAATTAGCGCGAAAATCCACAGAAAAATCACAAAATAATGAAATAAGCACAAAGAACCAATGCGATGGATCGAAGTGCAATAAATAACACAAACACCGAAAATATCACAAAGCATCTCGGTAAAATTAACACAAAAACAGAATCTCTGCCTATGTCTGCTATGAAATTTCGATCTACGAAAAAAAATTCACAAAAATAGTTTTAAAATAAGTCCACACCTGTGATAAAAACCGCCGAAATGTGCTGATTTCCTTGATTCTTCCATCATTTTTACTTGTTTTTTCATCGACTGACATTCTTTTCGTTGTGACTTTTCAAGTGTGACACCCAAGCAAAAGTCAATTGCAAAACAGCGTGCTGTTGAAAAGCCAAATACGTGTCGCTGATCCAACCACCAATGTGAGGCACTAGGTTATTTCTTCATAATCCGAATAAATGAGCATCAGTCTTTGTGTTTTATGAGCATACTCATTGTAATATTCGGTGAGTGCCACTAAAAAAAATATACACACTCATCTAGTGCGTGGGACGCACGCGGATGAGATGAAGCAAAGCGAAAGAGAAGCGGGCGACTCCATACGAACGAACGAACGATATAGCGCGCATACATTTCGTCTTTCCGTCGTTAGAATACGGACACAAACACAAACACGTAGTACCCATTGACTCTATGTTCTAGTTGCGCGCTTCCTTTTCGCTTTGCTTCATCCCATCCGCATGCGTCTCACTCACTAAATGAGTGACCATGCGTCTCACGCATTAGATAGATTAGATTATCTCTGATCACTTTATCGACGCAGGTATGGCGACACGAACACGATTGTTATTACTTTGTTGCTTTAAGTAGATGTTTTCGTTGAATGAGGCTTGTTCGCTTTGATGCGTGTGTGTTCGAAAAATGTAACGATCATACGTAATGAATGCTAATGGCTTCAATGATTACAGGTAAAAATGCCTGCACTTTGATAATGTTTTAGTGCTTCTGATATTTCATACTAATTTCAATGATTAGAAAATTGCTGCTAATTGAACAATTGCGACAGTTATTGTTATTTTCACGTCAATTAACGCCATCCAAATTTTCCGATTAATTTTTGGCTTCATGGCGATTTCAAGTGCCTTTCAATTTAAACATTCTTCGATTTTGATCACACGCGAAACAAATATTACATTTGATTACCAATTTTTAAAGTGCTCAGACAACGATATGATTGTCTTTTGCTTCGTTTCAGAACACCAATCAAAATTTCAAAAATCATTTAAAACACCAATCGAAGGAAAGACTCTTGAAAATTATTTTAGTTCACATTCAATTGAAATGACTCGGCAAATCATACTCTTTTCAATAATGAGAGACTGTAGCAATATCGGCACTGCATTCTATTGCTACCTATGCTTTCTCATTTTTTTTTGTGCACATACACAAATTTGAGCACATTTGCGTATATGACGTCGTCGACAATAACAAAGATATACCATTTCGGCCTTTATTTTATTGCCCAATTTCCTTGTCGAGATGTTGAGAAGTGTTATTGTGTTTTGATCGCAGTCATACAGTTATTAGCAGGTACAAGACTCTCCACTACGAAATTCGAAACAATCGATGCTTATCTAAAGCCAGTACTCATGGAAAAGTAGCCGTCGGAGTGCACGTTCTGTTCACGTTACGTTAAGGCGTACACATACAACTGCGTTAACGTGAAAGGAGTACAGCAATATATCGTGTGCTGTGATACAATATATCGCTGTACTCCTTTTACGTTAACGCAGTTGTATGTGTACGCCTTAACGTAACGTGAACAGAACGTGCACTCCGACGGCTACTTTTCTATGAGTAACTGCACGAATTTTGATTATAAACACTGACGTGTGAATAAAAGCCAAAAAAAACATTCGACTGTGGAAGTGAGTCAAAAATAGGTGTTCACTTGTCCACACATTGTACGTGTGTTATTCCCTGGCGTCATTAAGTCTGCTCTTCAATTGTTTTGAGTGTGTAAAAAACAGCGGCGTTGAACTGGAACTGCCGACATAATTGTCATCGAACGATTTAGTGAATAGTATTCACTGAATACAGCTATCGGCAGTTTGCGACTACGAACAAAACTAAATGCATCAGCATTTGAATTTAGAAATATTTCGGCTGAAATCTCCCATGCACAGTGTGCATTGCAGTGCAATGCCATTACACACATCGTATGAAAGCAACTTGCTCACGTCGTAATGCTTTACATTCCGCATGCTGAATTTGTACGCGAGTGAAGGAACGAAATGATATTTGATATTTAAATGTGCTGTGCAGTTTATTGCTATAAATCACGAAACCATGTAAATATTTTGTTTGACCTTTTTCTACGACAAAAAAATTCAGCTTTTCATTCATATTTGAACACGTTTTATTTATACACTTTATCAAACAAAGTAAACATTTTACCAACAACTGCTTATGAATTACGAATTACAATAAAACATTTTAGTTTGTTGATGAGCTAGACTGCGAAATCAAAATCCCTTGTAAATGAAATTTTTATGCCTGATTTTGTTCTCGCAACATTCGCAAAGACCAATTTTTTACCTTTTAATTGGGTAAAATCTAACTTTTCTCTTCGTCTAGCATTCGGATCGAAGTTCATGTTCCCGAACTTGACCTTTCTCAATTATTTTTGTGCAATTGGCTTTAAATGAATCATTCGGTGTCCGACAATACCTTTGTTTCGTGAAAATTGGTTGATAAATTCTATGTTTTTCTTTATTATACTATTCTATGTGTTTTTTTGGTACAATTTCACGTTTGACAACACATTCAATTGCTTTATTTTTCAATGAAAAATGTTGCTTTTCCTTCCTCTAGTCGATTTTTTCTAATATATATAATATATAGACAGTCTATTTCAGAAAAAAGTATTCATGATTCAATGAAAATTCAAATTAAATTCCCGTTGAAGAGTATTTCCTTTCACAAATTCAAGCATCAATAACAAAACCACGACTATCACAGCCGATTCGAGTGTTATTCTTGAGTGAATCGTTGCCATTTTCGAGCTCAAAGCTACTTTTGACGATTTCGCCATCCCCATCACCTTTCGTTTCTTCCAGCTGTTCCGTGGAAACTCGAGCAATTTTGCGATCGGTGAGTTTTTTGGAATTATCCGAAAAATGGAATTCAATGTCTTCCAGCGTGCGATTTTCCGTTTCAGGCATAATGTTGTAAATCAGAACCAGCCCCAATCCAGTGATAATGCAATTGACTAGAGCAATTCCGGGCATTGATAGTGATGTTTCCAAATCGTAATACAATTTTGTGCTGACGAAAGTGAAGAAATAGTCTAAAGCTGCCGATAATCCAGATGCAATACCACGTGCCCTAGTGTGAAGAAAAAAATTGAGATTAATTTCGAGATTTGACGTTTTAACGTTTGAGAAGAGCGCACTTGAATGGGTAAACCTCCGATAACATTTGCCAGGGCACGGAATTCACACCACAGTACGAACAGAAGCTCCACAGAATCAGACAAACGAATGGTATGTAGGTGAGATTTTTATTTCCCACTGAAGCGGTTGAGTGATCGAATGAGTTGTAGCCGTTTGGAAGAAATGCAAAACCATAAGCCGAGACAGTGGCCGAGCATAGAAATACCATCGTTAACATTGGAAAGTATAATTTCCGTTTGCCTGTGAAGCGAATCAAGCATAAGAACACTATGTTCGCGAAATTATTCACAAAACCAAGGATGGCCATTGCTTGATCCGGTGCGATCGGGCTTTCATAAGCTTTGAAAATTTGGCCAAGGAACGGATTCATTCCAGTTATACCGGTGAATTCAGCGATTACCATCAGCGACACCACAATGAATAACGGCTTGAGCGTTTGTTTGCGCTTTAGCTCCCTCAATTTCTCAAGCATGGTCGGCAGTGGATGAGTACATTTTAAGTCCTTTTTTATACAAGAACTGCACGATTTTGAACGTTGACTGTACCGCTGAAGCGCCTGGAATTCCTCAGAGACATTTTCCTTTGGTGCCCAGCCACGCAGCCAACAAAGGGCTTTTTCAGCATCATTTACTCGATTCTTTGAGAGAAGCCACAATGGTGTTTCAGGAACCTAGAAAATATGAAAAACTTTTTTCAATTCACATTCGATGGAAGAATCGACTTGAATTTTAATTGAAAACTTAACAAATGCAAAAGAAAAACATTTCAAATTACACTACCCAAATGAACCATTTGCGGAGATATCCCGTATACAGCGGAGCTGTGCGGATCTCGGCGGAGATACCGTACATACGCTATAAGTGTGAGCAAAACAGCACTCTTTGCTGTGTTTACATTTCTATTGTTCAATACACATCTAAGTAGCCATGAGCGCACTGCTTCAGATATAGTGTATGTATGGCATATCCGCCGAACTCCACACAGCTCCGCTGTGCACTGAATTTCTCCGCAAATGGTTCACATGGGTAGTGCCATGCTACAAAGCTTTCAACGCTGTTAAACACTTACAAAACAAAGCGCCAACACGGTAAAAATTGGAATGAACATACACACTAAGCCGACCATTCGCCACGGCAGCATCGTATTCAAAACGAGCACCAACATCATTCCGAATGAGCCAAATACATTGGTGTACGCGATGAGAATCCCACGATATGAAGGTTCACTAGAATCAAAGTGTAAAATATTACGTTACAGTACGACACGTTATACGACCCATTATAAAAAAAATAGTCTAATCTCTGTGCAATTCGAAATCCGTTTCGTTTTTCATTCTGTGCAAATGACTATAAATTTAACGATGTTTTGTTTCGTTAAAAACTGGAATTCTCTTAGGAAAGTATTTTCCAGCCAAAAACTTACATAATCTCTCCGATATAAGTAATGACCTAAATTTCAAAATAAATTAATATTAATAGGTGCAGGTAAATTAATTAATGAACTATTAATAATAGATATAATTGGTTGATTTACCGGGGATTCCATGAGGCCAACACCAAGACCAAGTAAAATGTTTGCGACGAAAATTTGCCAAACACTCCCAGCAGTGTACATTAAAAACCAGGCGATTATAAGCGGCACATTCACGAGGATCATCGCTCGTTTTCGACCAAAA